AAAAAAAAAAAAAAAAAAAAACAAAATCCGATACACTATAACCATAAATACACAAATAGTTAATAATATAAATACAAATAGTGTCGGAGCACTACATTAGCTCAATTCATCCCCATCAGACTGTATAGAACTTCTGAATTCAAGAAGACTCATCATAGATGTGGTCATAAGCTAGATGTGTTGTTTGAAGACAATATTTTTTTTTCAAGTTAGTGAAACAGAGGAAATCTTAAACAAGTGACGTTTATTCATGGTATTGGCTCACTCTTCCTTTCTTTTCTTCCTTACTTCTAATTATACTTTACTTCTAATATAATACTTCTACTCTCACAAAGTTTAAGATGAATGCATATTGCGTATTTATTTTGTAAGTAAAATTATGTATTGTTGGTGATGAAATATATATCCACACATAACCTTATGCGTTAACAAACTAAGTAAATTGGAATGTAAATTGTTGAGTTGTAATTATTGTCATGTTTTTGTTTAATAAAGTTATCATTTAATCAGACTGTTCATTGTTACATTAGTTCCTCATAACCATGTGTTATGGGTAACCAGAGAATAAAGAAAACAAAAATGCTCAATCAATGGAAATGCAAATAAAACAGAAAATTCAGAAAAATATGTGCAGACTTTTATGAGTAACTTTTATCTCAAAATGAGGATGTGTCTAATTAAATGAAAAAATATGCTAACTCTATATTTATAGGTCTTATTATCAATATATATAAATTATATTCTATACAATATAATTTATTGATAATATATGACTATGAGCACTAATATAATTTAAAATGAATTTATATAAAAAAACTTTTTAATATTATTAATATAACCAAGTGCTATGGATCAGAGAGAAGGAAAGAAAAGTCAACATCCATATAAATAGTGACAAAGTGGAAAAAGTGAAAAGGTTTAGACACCTGGATACTTGACTCTGATTGCAGAAATGAGAAAGAAATCAAAAAGAGAATTGGTATGGCAAAAGAAGCTTTTAGCATAATGAAAATAATTGTGTGGGGGCCTCTGAAATTAGAATTAAGAAAAAGGATGGTCAAATACTACATCTGAGTGTTTTCCTCTATGGTACCAAAACTTGGACTTTGAGACAATGCAACATTAGGAGAATAGAGGCCCTAGAGATGTGTATGTGAAAGGAATAGAGAAAGTCAGATGGATAAATAAGATGAGAAATGAGGAAGTCCTAAGAAGAGTGGGTGAAAAAAGGAGCATATTAATTAAAGACAATAAAAAAGCAAAAAGCTAACTGGATGGGACACATGATTTGAAAGGAAAACTTATTGAATGACATTATGGAAAGAATGGTTGCAAGCAGAAAAAAACAAGGGAGAAGGAAAATTAAAATGATGGATGACTTAAAAAAGGGTAATTATAAGGAGCTAAAGACAAGAGTGCAGGATAGAGTAACATGGGAAAAAAGGTGGTGCTCACCGAACCTACTATAACAGAAAACTAAAGAAGAATATAGTATCAGATGCTATGAGAAAACTCATCAAAAGCAACAATAAAAAGCAAAAGATAAGAAAAAAAAAATCAAAATTTTTAAAAATGCATAAGAATCAGAAGTCAAGTTGTACAGTGCAAAATCACCACTTGGCAATATTTTTATTAAAGTGATAATAAAAATCCTAGTCTGCTTATTTCAAAATTCAGAATGAAATTAAATAACATTGCACACTTCAGGAAAAACAGCACAATATGTAACTCCTATGTGATATAAGTTCTGTGTACCACATATCTAGCAATTTCATATCATCATGCAGCAAGTTCAGGCAGGAAAGTAGGAAGTGACATTGAGAATCAAAGGCAGTTTTTGTGCAATGTCGTCCAGGTTTCCAGATTGGGAATTTTTTCAACTGACCAAGAAAATATGGGGAATTTTTTGAGGTTACATTTTTTTTTCACTATAATCTTTTTTCAGCAGACAAACAAAAGTTTTGACACAACATTTGAAATTCTGTTTAATTAATTTAAACATTGTTATCAAATGAGTTAGTCAGAATTATTCAAAAATGATTCCTATGTCTAAGTGACAGCATGTTACTTTTGCTTTCCAGGCTCCAAATTTATAAGGCCACCAACACTTGCATTAATTAGTAAATAAAACTGGCAGTGATAAATAATTTGAAGTAGCGAATAAAATTTAAAACTGGCAAAATAATTGATGATTTTTTAAAATTTTCTAGAGCAAATCTTGAGAATATATAAATTAATGTAATATAAGTGGTATAATAAGTTAATACCTGTTCTTTTAAATTCAGCACAATGGTTCAGCCGTTTCCTAATACTACTTTCAGAATAACATGGAAAAGCTCTTTTAATATCTTCAAGTTTGCATCGAGGTGGATGATCTGTACTCATTTTGAAAAGCCGATAAATAAAAACCTGAAATGAAATACAATTATTCACTTATAAATTTTATATTTATTAAATATATTACTCAAATAATCTGTTAATGGGAAACAAAAGTGAAATGATAAAATTTCATTTTTAAGACTTAAAGTTCTTTTGTGGAAAATGTAAGGATTTTTAAAAAAGTTTGAATATATCTTTAGAAAAATTACCTGCAAAAATTCTTTTGTAAAAAGATATGAATTCTTAGATTTCGGACCAGGAACTTCCATCAATGGTAATTCTTGTCCCACTACATATATAGTGTCTACTTCCCGAATATAATAACTAAAATATAAGAAAAATTTAAAAATAAAAGGAGATTAATTAAAACAAATTTTAATGTTTTTAAAATAGTTTCACAAACCCTTGTTGAGTTCTTATAATTAGAAAGTCTGTATTTGGCATTTGGTGCTCATAAAGTGGTGCACGAAATAAATTATTTTCAAATGCTTGCAAACTCTGTCCTTGTTTCAAATGACCTAGGAATGGTGATGTATGAATAAATTGCACTGGCTCTCCATACTTAAATGTTGGAGCTATTTCTTTTCCTGGTCTCTAAACAAACATTTCAAATGTAATTACAATTATATAAAAGCAAATTATCATTATTAATATCTGTCAAGTAAATTAAGTAATAAGGTAATACATATAAAATATTAGAATCCAGATTTGCCAAATGCTTATGTCATTATTATTAGAAAATTCTGTTTGTCTGTTATTAAATACTAACGAGTTTCCATTGTTTTTGGTATGTATTAACGTCGGAATTAGATTACGAAAAGGATTGAAACGGATTCTCATGAACAGCTAAATCAACACGTCTTTATTGAAGTACATAACGGTGCAGAACTCTGCAGTGCGCAGGCGTGCTACTACATATATACATTTGAACTGCCATAGATGGCGCTGCGATACATAGCAGTTTTGTTTCATCATACCTTCGAAAAAGGTCCAGAGAAATCCTTGTGCAATGTTCAATTAGCTGAAATCCTCTTAACAACCAGCTCAATAATATATTTTACATCAGAGCAACCCGAAGAGCAGTACAAACTAAATTACAATAATATCTATACAAATGCAATTCAGAAAACAATCCAACAACAAAGTTTGTACTGTCAAGGTTGGAAATAGATTCAATATCAAAGCTTACAATCAAATTAATACTCCAACATTAACTATTTCTATTCTACAGGCATTACTAAATGTTGAATTGTATAAATTTCTTTTCTTATAACAAATCTTTTCTCTTTAAATTCTTTTTAATAAGCTGGTTGAAATAATTTACATTTAACATTGTATTTAATGTGATAATTTTAATTTGAGTTATTCAATCGGTTATATTATTTATGAAAGCAAACAATACACCTTTAACAGAAAGTAATAGTTTAGAAAACCTTGAATCTTTCTAACCAGAGGATCAAAAATGTTCATATTCCACAAATTAACCCACTGTCAAAAACATGTATTCATTGCATTATTAAGTTAACTACAGTAATTAATTCAACTTTATATTTTTTAACTCTAATTTCTGTAAACTTTTTTCATTACATTACTACATTACTATTTGAACAAATATATTTTATCTAAATTTGTGTAAGCTTAAAAATTTCTATAATAAGGAATAAAAGTGATTGTTTTAAATCTATAATTTTTTATTTATTTAACACTGTTTGTTTATCATTTTATTTTTTTCAAGTATTTTATGAGGAAACTTTCAAAGTCACTCTGACTNACAGCTAAATCAACACGTCTTTATTGAAGTACATAACGGTGCAGAACTCTGCAGTGCGCAGGCACGCTACTACATATATACATTTGAACTGCCATAGATGGCGCTGCGATACATAGCAGTTTTGTTTCATCATACCTTCGAAAAAGGTCCAGAGAAATCCTTGTGCAATGTTCAATTAGCTGAAATCCTCTTAACAACCAGCTCAATAATATATTTTACATCAGAGCAACCCGAAGAGCAGTACAAACTAAATTACAATAATATCTATACAAATGCAATTCAGAAAACAATCCAACAACAAAGTTTGTACTGTCAAGGTTGGAAATAGATTCAATATCAAAGCTTACAATCAAATTAATACTCCAACATTAACTATTTCTATTCTACAGGCATTACTAAATGTTGAATTGTATAAATTTCTTTTCTTATAACAAATCTTTTCTCTTTAAATTCTTTTTAATAAGCTGGTTGAAATAATTTACATTTAACATTGTATTTAATGTGATAATTTTAATTTGAGTTATTCAATCGGTTATATTATTTATGAAAGCAAACAATACACCTTTAACAGAAAGTAATAGTTTAGAAAACCTTGAATCTTTCTAACCAGAGGATCAAAAATGTTCATATTCCACAAATTAACCCACTGTCAAAAACATGTATTCATTGCATTATTAAGTTAACTACAGTAATTAATTCAACTTTATATTTTTTAACTCTAATTTCTGTAAACTTTTTTCATTACATTACTACATTACTATTTGAACAAATATATTTTATCTAAATTTGTGTAAGCTTAAAAATTTCTATAATAAGGAATAAAAGTGATTGTTTTAAATCTATAATTTTTTATTTATTTAACACTGTTTGTTTATCATTTTATTTTTTTCAAGTATTTTATGAGGAAACTTTCAAAGTCACTCTGACTGCACATAGCCATTGTAGTATTTATAGTATATTTATCAAACAAAATATTTAATCCACTCATTAAATGAGTCCCAATCTAAACTCGAAAGATTGATATTTTGAATATTCAAATATGGAATCCTACTTAAAATCTTTTGTAAATTTATAAAACAAAAATACATACCCTCCTATAATAATTTTTAATTTTTGTAGCCATTCCAATATTCATCATTAATGGAGGAAACTCTTCTGAATATTCTGCAAAAATAAGTTTCCCATCTTTACTGGATAGATCGTTAATTGTTCTCATAAAGAACATGTCTCCACCACCTGATGCTTCACGTTCTCTCTCCCTCATCTAAAAATAAATTAAGCAACTAATATTAATAATGTAGCATAACAATTTTCGAGGAGGAGGAAATGAAGAATTTAGGACAAGCTTTATTAGGTTCATGGACATTTTTTGCTTCACCACATTCTGTTGATACTTGTGGAATAAATGGTCTGCCATTAACTCCCAATTCTGGTCAAATTTTTGGTCCTTTTCAAAAATTAAAAACTCTTAATCATGATTGTCCTTGTAAATATTTTGATGTTATTAGAGGCAAAAATGAATGATTAATGATTTGTAAGTGAATATTATTTGAAAAATATACAACAAAAAGAAAACAGAAAGATAGTGGAAGAAAATATATCAGATTTAGCATTATTAACCTTTGAGACTTTACTTTTGTGAAGAAATTCTAAAGCATCTAATCTAATTCATCAATGTCTTTCTCCTAATTGTATTTTACTTGATAGTGAGAATCATTTGATTTGTTTTGAAACCGTGACCTACCTGTTCTATAATTCTGGCTTAGTAAACACTAGTATTGTGTTGTATTCCAAAGACACATGCCATGTGTCTTTGGAATACAACACAATACTAGTGTTTACTAAGCCAGTGAGAATCATGTAAAATTTGCAAATTACAGTTTATATCATATGACTGAATGTTGTGCTTGTGTGTCATTTTCGATAGATTTACCTACATGGCTTGCTCCTGAAACATTAATGGGATGTTCCAGGCAAAAGTGGTTATTCATTTCCATATCCTTCATCATCAGAACCAAAAAGTAATATTTGGTCATTTAATTTCTAATGACCAAATATTATAATTTATAATTTTATAATTATAATTTTAAAATTAGTTTTAGGTAAAGAACTATGGGTTGTGGCAGTACACCATGTATTTTGTATATAGTTTATATTTAATTTTAATTAGCTTTATTTTTCCTTCTACATTCCTTTCTTTCACCCCCTTTTTCCCTTTTCTTTATTCTATGGTCTACTCTCTATGGAGAGTCTCTCCCCAAAATTCCTTTACTTATTGGCTATAGAAAACACCCTAAAACAAGGGAAGGGATGAGGTAAGACGAGAAGAATGAGAGGAGAAGGAGGAACAAAGTGAGAAGGAGAGGGAGGTGGATTTTGAGAGCGTACGGGAGACAAAGAGAGATTCTCAGAGACGGACAAAGAAATATCCGTGATAGACTCACAGAAATTAAGAACAAATCTTTGCATTGTAACCACCAACAGTAGTGTGACTCGAAGGAAAAAAGGGAGATCCTTCCAACTTTACGTGAGACCCTCACTAAGGACATTGCAAAGAGAAACGATCTTCGAAGACCTTACATACTAGCATTGGGTACCCCTTTTCTGAGTTCTAACTTTCCTTTATCTATCCCCTATCTTCTTACCTTAGTTTAATATTACTTTAAGTCTTATTTGTTATTAGTGTTTAAGATAGTTTTAGATTTTTGCGCGATGATTTTTAATAACGGTTCTTTATGTCGCGTACTATGATTCAGGGTTTTGTTTGTGTAACCTTGTTTACGATTCTGACTGTTTCTAACTGTCGGGACATAAAGTTAGCACTGGCATCCTAAAGAAGCCTGTAATTAAGCTTTCAGCCTTAATTAAAGTTGTCCTTTTTGTCGTACTTTGTTTCCACGTGTCTTCCTCAAAGATGAAAACCGCATACCTTCACAAGGTATTATATTACAGATGAAATATACCACAAAATTTTATTATTAGGTAAACTAGACTCTGGTCAAAGTGTTTTATATACAATAGCAAGAACATGATGTTTTTCAAAAGCTAGAAAATATACCTTCAACTTTTAAATCTTTTTTAGAATCTTGTCTAACAACAGATTCACTAAGGAGATCAAATGCACCTAAGTTACTAAAACATGAATTTTTTAAGAACATGGATTAGATGATTCATACAAAATAAAAATCATAAAAGAATCTTTTCCTTCTATTGAATTCAGATGTCGTTCTTTGGTTTTACCCAAAAATGTTCCAATAAATTATAATCACTTAGCATATTATCCATTAGAAGAAGTGTATTATTTATAATGTAATGTAACATTCATTAAAATCAGATATATGTAAAATAATCATAAACATGTATTGAAAAAAAAAATCCCCAAGTACAGACAAAAATACATAATCAAACAAATAACCAAACTAAACATAAATAATATTCTTCTAATTTTTATATATTTGTATTGTATCGCTGCTCTGAGAATTTTAAAGTTGATATAATTTCTTTCTCTCATAGGTATAGCTTCTGCAATTGATTTTGGCAAAGATTGTGTTCTAAAGGAGTGTTCGTTCAATGAGGTGAGTTTAAAAAGATAAGACAAAAACTAAGATAAGATTGTTACAAGATACTAAAGAACAAATAGATAATAATACTACTGCCTATATTAAATAAATATTACAAAAATAAAACGATCATTACATAATAAAAAATATTGAAATAGCCACTCCTACATACTTCAGATCTACAAACAAACCTATACAAACAATACTCTCTCCTGTATGATTGTAGATGTAGCCACTATCCCTGTGTTTAAAGAATAAACTTTTAGATATTGTATATAAGTGCTGTAAATGTGTAAGTGCATTTATCTTATTCAAACATTTTTCCAATACTTATTTCATTTTTTTCTTAATTTATTTACTGACTACGTGCTCTTACCTTTGGACCAACTGCATATAGCAGTGTAATGAAAATGGAATCACTAAAGTTTCTAATGGCAATTGTTGCTCAGTAAAACTGAAAAACCACTAATATGACATAAAAGCAGCATATCTGTATAACAAATTAAATAACTGACACACAGAGCAACCAAAAGTACTGTAATTTATCCTTATAATTATATTGTTAAAAGAGAGGTAACTTTAAGCTTAATGGCATTGTCTTGTATTTATGCAATAAATAAATTAACAACAAAAAATATTCAACTATTCAAAATCCATTCTCAATACTGGGATGGCAATTCCATTGTTTCAAAAACTGCACTCAAACCAAATGCTGATGCCCATGTAACAAGGTTGAAAACATTGCTCTCTTGTAAAATTATGCTTGAGATGAATTTTGTGCTCTTTATTAAATGACAAAAAATATTCCCTTTGTTATTCAAAGTAAGATTATAACATATACTTACTTCAGCTACTTGCTTAATGTGTTTTTTCAGAAATATAACCTCATGACTTCTGGATTTTGACAGAGGACCTCGATAATAAGGCTTCAACACAGGTCGATGAAAATTCCTCAATACAGCTTCAGTAATATTAGGAGGATAAAAAGCAGGATGCAGTTCCAATGCAGGAATTGAATGCTACATATTTTTAAATAAAATAAAAATAAGCAACAAACTGTCAATTATTTGTTTTTAAACAATAATTAATATTCTTTTTTATTTCATTAAATACATGCAAATTATAAAAACATTAAAAAATATATATAAAAAATTTAAGTCAAATAAATAACATATTAAAAGATAATTAACACAATACATTAATGTTTTACTAAATTAACGTTTATTGAAACAAGAAAATCACAACAAAACCAATATACAAGTTTCAGAAAATAGCAATATATTATTTTGCAATATAAAAGAAATTTGGATATTTTATTCAATTTTATTTTATTTTTTTGTTATTTCCAATTCTTCAATTCTTAATCCGAATGTGAATAGTATTATGAGGATTTAGTACTTGTCAGGACTAATGATTGCCATCACTTGGATGTAAATTACCAATTCTGAGAAATTCTTCTTTTTGAACCATTTGTTTTAACAGCTGCATTCAAACTGTAAAGGTCTTTTAGTCTGACTGTTCAACAAGGGTGAAAATATTTGCTTTTGTAGGTTTTCATAGCTCCTGCTGGATATCGGTTTTGTGTGTAGTGCTTAATTATGTATACCAACTTTGAGTAGTTGTATTTATTACTTACTTGAATTATGATTCCTTCATTTGATCTTAAATTATAATTTTGAATGCATTTTGGATTATAATATTCATCATTTGAAATATTAAATGAATCTTTTTGAATTATTGGGAGCTGAAATATAATCAGGAACTTTCATATTAATCATATTTCATAGATCAGAAATTTTATGTTAAATTTATATAAATGAACAAAATATTCAATGTAATAAAATTTAAACAATATGCTGCATCTAAGAATGAAAATGTAATAAGCTTCAGGAACATTTAAGATATTCAAATATTATATATATTTTTATTTTTATTCATGTTTTTCATTGGAAACCATTTTACACAGTGCCGGCCCGAGGCAAGTTTTAGGACGAAGCGAGATCATATTATGGTGCTCCCTTGGTTGCCCCTAATTTATACCCTTTAATTTTCTTTACCACTGAGGCGCCCCCAAGGACTTAGCACCTGGAGCGGCTGCTCCGTTCGCCCTATGGTAGGGCCGGCTCTGATTTTATAGCTCATAATTACTGTTATTAATATTGATAATAGTCAGAACTATGCCAATGTTACTTACCACTCCAGCAAGATAAATTTTTTCCACTTGAAATATCTAACTTTTTCTAGCAATTTATGCAATATTTGTTAATAATTTTTATTTTTACACACTGCATATATATTAGTATATATATTCTATGCACATTAAATTAATTTTAAATACAGTATTTGTAATTTTTTAAAACATCTTAAAAACCAGCAGAAGTTTTTTGAAAAAAATTTTGTATTTCTTCACAATGATTTGAAAACATTTTTTTTTTGACTGAGAAAACTCAGAATATAGAATATCTAGAATTTCTTATTAAAATACTTTCAATCTTTTACAATCTTCCTTAGATATATGTTTGCGTTTACTTTTTTAAGTTAAATTTATATTTCGCTATCAAATATCTACATTCAAATAAATTATGTAGAAGATAATCTTGTCTTTATATTTAATTTAATTTTTGTTAAAACTCTAAATTTTATCATTAATTTCATTAATTGTTTTGAATAATATAAGTCAAATGCTTACTTCATAAGGAGCAATAATTTCTTTCTTCCAGAATTTCCAAACATCCTATAATAAATTTAAATACTTTCAATTGTTTTATTTGATTAATATTCATTAATTGTTTTGATTTAAAAAAAAGCACATTGGCATTTAATTAGAACATTTATTACATGTATTTGCAGTTCTATTTTCAGTCAAAGCTGATTCATTTAAGGTACAGTACATTCATTAGTATGAATGCAAAGCAAGATTGTCAAACTAACTTAAAATTTTAAATTTGTAAAATGCTTGAACTTATAAAATTATATAATTAATACATAATACTATGAAAAGTGCAGAATCGCCATGAGGGTGAGGGTGATAATACAATCTGATTAAAACAGTAAAAAACAAAACAAATCAGATGCCAACTAACTCTAGGGTTTTTGCCCAGCTCTGCCAAAGAAAAAACAAAAACAAAAAAAAAAAACAGAAGCAGACACATGGATTCACGCAACAAAACAAAATTATTCCTGTGTCTTACAATTTTGTTAAACAGACATAATTGTGTATTACAAAAAAATTTCTTACAACTAACTTAAAAGTAACTTATAACTATAGGGATGAAATGGAAAATTACAATAGACAAAGGAAAGGAAAAGATAGGGGTACCCATACTTGATTGATTCCTTTTTTATTTTTTTTTTACAGAGATGATTACTTTTGATGATTCTCAGTGAAATTTCATTGTTGGTCCTTTTGGGGAGGTTAACATATCTTTTTATCGGAGATCAAAGGAGACTGTCTTCATCAATGATTAATTGAAGCCTCAGGATTCTTGTTCCAATGAAGCCTTAAAGAAAGTCCCTCACTACGGTCAGGATCAATCTTTCCTCTCCACTGTCTCCCACAGTTTGACTCTCCTTCCTAATTGGAAAATCATTACCTCTCCCCTTTAGGCCCTTAAGCAATTTCTCTCCCTACTTGACTGTTCAGAACATTAATCATCAACTGAGTGAAATAGAAATGAAGACAAGAAAAGATTCTAGAAATGGGAAAAAACAAGAATCGAGAACAGAAGCTACAAACTAGAATATTCTATTAGAACTTAAAATTATGGCATACAGCCACAATACATTAATAATAATATTTTTATTAACATTAATATACATTAGTTTACATAAAATAAGACATTGTTTAAAATAATTTTACAATGGTTTATTACATAAATCATGTATTACTAATTAATATTAAAAGTAATTTGGTGTAAATTGATTTAAACAAAAGAAATGGTCTTATGCTGAATTTTCCTATATAACCAATTTAACCAACAACTAGGGTGTTCCACATAAAACCATTTTAATGATGATTTTGGGTCAAAAACACAAGGATGTTACTGAATTTCTTAAAAGACCTGAACTCAGAATCTGGGTCTAGAGGTTTAGGCTTAACTACTTCTGATAAATACCAAAGTTTCAGTATACAATAGCAATAGAAGGTTTACGTGGCAAATTCAAAGTCACACCATGCATAAATATATTGCTTATTAGTTTCTTAGGCTGTAATGTGTTAGAACATGTAAAATAAGCTTCACATTGCTATCGGACACTGAAACTTTGGTATTATTAAAAATAGTTAAGACTAGGCACTGTTTCAAAAGACTTTTTGACACTGTAGCATTTGCGGAATTTTCTGAATATATCTGGATTGCCGGTGAGACCATTTAGATTTGGCGGCCAAGCTATTAGATAATCGTGCAGGAAGGCGACGAGGATTTTTCTCCATGGGTCGAAAAGCTGGCAGTCTGTTAGGATGTGGTGTGAGAGTTTGGAATGTACAAGACAAAGTATTCCAACAAATTCCAATAAACGAACAGTTTATTACAACCAGAATTAACAACCAAAATACTGATGCCCGTCAGAGACAAAATACATAGATCTATACAATCGGTCTCTACTCTCGTTCAGGTTCTCACAGGGAGTTATTCTCGCGTGATCATATTGTGAATACTAACTTATAACTAACTTAACCCACAAATAGGTGTGCTTGTTGCAAAAACCAATTGCTATGAAATTCAAAGTGTCACCAATCTTTAGACTGCACTAGTAAGTAAGCACAATTATCTTCGTATAATTGTACATACAGTGCCGGCCCGAGGCAAGTTTTAGGACGAAGCGAGNGCATTTGCGGAATTTTCTGAATATATCTGGATTGCCGGTGAGACCATTTAGATTTGGCGGCCAAGCTATTAGATAATCGTGCAGGAAGGCGACGAGGATTTTTCTCCATGGGTCGAAAAGCTGGCAGTCTGTTAGGATGTGGTGTGAGAGTTTGGAATGTACAAGACAAAGTATTCCAACAAATTCCAATAAACGAACAGTTTATTACAACCAGAATTAACAACCAAAATACTGATGCCCGTCAGAGACAAAATACACAGATATATACAATCGGTCTCTGCTCTCGTTCAGGTTCTTACAGGGAGTTATTCTCGCGTGATCGTATTCTAAATACTAACTTATAACTAACTTAATCTAATACTACACTAATACGAGAAAAAGGAAGAAAGAAGGAGAAGAAGTCTACCGGTACTTAGCACAGGGGTCCTGATCGGGGTGGTCGATGGCTATGGGGATTTTATCAGTCGACATCGAATTGTACACCATTTCTCGTATGGTAATCTTCACTGGGATTTAAGTATACACTAGGCTCTCATCGGACAAGTCCCTGGTCCTTTTCTGGACTCCTTTCCACTTGGTCCTCTCGGCCCTTTTCTTTGTCAACAAGTTCTGACGAATGATACCCACGATTCGTCCAACACCTCTTCTCTTGGTGTCCAAAACCAAATTGTCCTTTCTTCTCACCCCTTTGTCTACTCTTACCAACCCCACGGGCAAGACCCCTCTCTGTCCTCATTGGCAAAACCACCAATCAGGCCCCACGAAGTTCCCGCTTCTGTCGGGTGACCGGAAATTGTTATTAGTGGAAAGAAGAAGAAGGAAAGGAAAGAACAAAGGAATTCTAAATATAAATACTATAGCTATTTGTACAAAATGGCGGACAGCCGCATATACACATATACAAAATGGCGGACAGCCACAGTGGGACAAGGTATCCGGATTGCCAGAATTACAGTTACACGCTGGACTATTTATTACTTTAAATCTGTACAGATAACTGTTAATATTGCCGTGCTGTGTGAGAAGAGATGTTATTATGTAATCATGTTGTTTGATTTTAATTTTCGCTCTAGCTTCCACTGTCGAGATGAATTTGTGTGTGATATGTCCTTTGTTATCGCTTTTCCATCTATTGCCCTACGTTTTGGTTGTGTCCTGCCTAAGCATGCGCTTTACGGCAGCCAAAGAAGGCATGTTGCAAAGAAGGTGTCCCTGTTTAGATAGGCGGAGGTAGCAAGCAGATCTGCTAATTCATTCCCTTGGCACCCTGAGTGTGATCTGACCCAAGCTATGCGAGTGTTGTATAGGAGAGCGCAGTTTTTAAATAAGTTCAAGACTTTCATACTTAGTTTTGTTGTTATTTTCGGTCTCTTGACACAAGCTATCGCTATCTGTGAGTCGCAGCAAATTAGTACATTTTGTAGTTTCAGTGTATTAGTTTCAGACCTTCCCTGAGCATGAGGAGTTCGGCCTGTACAACTGTGTGATCATTGTTTGATTTGTAGTCTGAGCATTGGAGAATGGAAGAGCCTTCCAGCAAGGTAAGACCTGAACCGACGGCGTTATTGCTTTTGGAGCCGTCTGTATAGAATCTAATTGGTTGATTACTATTGTATGTGACTATGTTCATGTTGTGCATGTAGGAGGGGTAAGGGAGAGACTGGACCTCTGCCAGGGAGGCGCAGGGAAGGGCGCAACCGTCCCTCGTGAAGGAGCCATTAGATTTGGCAAAATATAATTCACTTTACTCTTTAATTAAGATATCTAAAGGGATTTTGTTTGCCAAAAGAAAGGCGGAATTATGCAGGATCATACAATATGCATCAATTAATTTTATGCAGAGTCGTCTCTGAAGTTTTAGTAATATTTCACTATTGATTTTTAAATTTAGACCTTCAGACCAGACCGGAGAAGCATAGCTCAGCAGAGGAATGCTCGCGCCTTCATAGATTGTGTTGATAGCTGTAGAGTGCAAGCCCCATTTTAAAATGGAGACTTTTTTAAGGAGAAACAGCAGCCTTTCTGCTTTGCTGACCTGATCTCTGATGTGGGGAGTCCATGAAAGTTTGTTATGTAGGGTAACTCCTAAGTGCTTTAGGGTCATGACATATTCTAGAATTTTTCCATTAAACTGTAGCCATGGCTTTTTCACTTTTAGTTTTCTACTGAAAAACATAAGTTTAGTTTTATCAGGGTTAAATACTAGTTTACACTGTACTGCCCAATTTTGCAATTTACTGAGTATCGAATTAGCTTTGTTATGTAAAATTACAGGGTCATTTTTGACTAAAGTTACTAAGAGATCGTCAGCAAACGCGAAAATGTTGCTGTTTCTGGGTAGTCTAATATTAAAGATGGTGTTTAGTAAAATATTCCAAAAGGTAGGGCCGCAGCTTGAGCCTTGAGCCACACCAAGGCCAATATCTTTGCTAAAAACGGAATTACCATAAAATAGTGTCGCCTTCCTGTTTATAAAGTAGTTATGCACAAGCGTGAATAAATTTTCGGAAATACACACTTTTTTCAGTTCGTGTAGTATTAAAGGGACCCACGCTTTATCGAAGGCATTGGAGATATCAAAACTAATAATTAGGCAAATCTTTTTATTTTTAAGTATCTGACAATGTTTTTGACTTTTAATAGGGGATCTACAGTACTGTTTCTGGGTCTAAAGCTGAACTGATTCAGGTTTAAAAATTTTGATTGAGTAAGGTGGTAGTTGAGGCGGTTAATAAAAAGCTTTGAGGGTTTTTCCTAGGATGGAGAGTAAACTTATCGGTCTAAATGCCTTTAAATTATCTAATATTTTATTAGGTTTCGGAAGTAATTTGACAAAAGCCAATTTCCAAGTGTCTGGAAATTTGCCAAACGAAAGACAGAGATTAAATATTTTCTGGAGGATGGAAG